CTGCGAGTCCCAAGGGTGAGACCGGGTCGGGTCGTTGTGTGTATGACCCGGACTCTGCTGTCGGTCAGGGGGCTACCGGCTACCGGCGGGCGGGACGGGGCGGCGCGCGGAGGGCGAGTTTGTATTGCCGCGCGTCGCGCCCCGCACCCCTCCTCCCCGCCGCTCAAACACCACACCCGTGATAAGAGATCGTTCGCTTCCTTTTTGCGCGTCGCGCGTCTAACCGTGGGGTGATAAGCGGCACACCTGGGCGGGCGGCGCTGCGGGCCGCGGCGGCGCGGGGCGAGGCGCGGGGCGAGGCGTGGGGGCTCACGGCTCACATCCGCGCACCTGGAGGGAGGCGGGGCTGCGCGGTGAGTGCCGCGTGCCGCCGCAGAGCGTGGGGGCTGTGGGGCGTTAGGGCTGTGGGGCGTTAGCGTTGTGGGGCGTTAGGGCTATGGGTGGGGCGTTAGGGCTGTGTGGCGTTAGGGCTGTGTGGCGTTAGGGCTGTGTGGCGTTAGGGCTGTGGGGCGTTAGGGGTGTGGGTGGGGCGTTAGGGCTGTGGGGCGTTAGGGCTAGGGCTGCGGGGCCGAGGAGATTAAAAGCTGGAGGTCTGGAGTACTGGTAGGGCTAGAGCGCAGTAGGGCGTTAGGGTCGGTTAAAGCTCTAGGGCTGTGGGGCTGTAGAGCTGCAAGGGTGGAGGGCTGTAGGGCGTTAGGGCTGTGGGGCCGAAGGGCTTTAAAGCTGGAGGGCTTTGCTTGACCGCGGTATGGCGCCTCCCGCAGCTGGCCCCGCGCGCGACCGCGTCTCAGGGCCTAGGAGGAGGCGCGCAGCATCACACCACTCCACTGCGGGAGAGATGGAGGAGGGGGGGGGGGGCTGGACTAGTTGGGGTGAGAACCTCGTCTGGAAGGACCTCGGCTCTATTTGTACTGGACGGTCTCGTCAGCCCCGCGGACTGTATACACACCTCGAGCGCCGAGGCGCCTGTCGAGTGTGAAACAATCCGACAAATAGACAAGCGGGCTGCCGCCGGCGGCCGCTCGCAGCGCTGCCCGCCCGCCGGGGTACTCGTGATGATGAGATCACGACCCACGGACGGAACCGCGCCCCGCGGGGCCTCGGACTTTCCCAAGGAAACAAGAGAGTGGCCCGCGGCATTCTTATTTGTTTGTTAACCCCCCTTCTCTCTCTCTCTCTCTCTTTCGAATGGGTTTGGGCGGTGATTTATTGCAGCTCCGTCCACATTCGTAGTGATACTGCACCACACGCACGCGTGCCGGTTGGTCAGTAACCCGCACCAAGGAGTAGGCAACCCGCCCGCACGCGTGCATGCGATGAGGTGAAGCTGACCAACGGGAGCGGCCAGGTCGGGGGAATCAGCGACCAGGCAGATTAAGTTGTAAACCACGGAAAACTCGCGGGAAGTGAGCCTCCTCCCGGCTGCCCTGTGAGATGGAGATTTTGACATTTCTCTGAACAGCGTCACTCCGATTTTAACTTAATTCCATGGCTCCAAGTACCAAACTCATACCTCCAGTGTGACCTGTTACTTTGGGTCCGTCAGGATTCGGGGAGGTCGACAACACCTCCCCCCTCCCCTCTCCAATTCAACCCCTTCGTGACCTACCCAGAGCAGGGCAGCTGCTGGACGGCCCGGAAAACCATAGCGGCGGCGTGCCTCTTCTAGTACGTGACGTGTCGGGTCGCGGCGCGGCGTGGCGTGACGGTGGTGCCCTTTAATGAGCAACGGCAACGGCGGGACCGTGGGCCTAACTGCAGCGGTGCAGCCGCGCCAGGCCTCGCCCCGCCCCGCCCCTGCTCAGCTGAGCGCGGTCCCGGACCGCCTGCACAGTGCGCCGTCCACCGCACTCAAATCAAATCAGGCGGAACGGTATGAGACAAAAGTCATAACAAGACCCCAGTTTATGTGACGCGGTCGGGCCCGGGGGTCTTTGGGCCCTTGCCGCGCCACGCCGCGCCGCGCCACGGCCTCCGCCTCGGACTGTGATCCGATCGGCGGCCGTGCTGCTGCGGTACGCGACGACGTGCTTCCAGCAGCTCAAACCTAAAAGAAAAACCGAAAAAAACAAACAAATAATAATAATAAATTTGTAACCGCTGCTTCGTGAGTCGAGAGGTGGCATAAAGCCTGTCGACTCGACAGTGACCTCTTCTCCGAGGAAAATCAGGGCATAAAGAGAATACAAGACATTTCGCCATCATTGTCGGGGAGCGCAGACCGTGCCACACATGCGCTCCCCCGCCCCGACGCCCCTACACATCTCTACATCCACTGGCGATGCGCCTCACTTGTGTAAGTGCTTGTCAATGCATGCCTCGTTTGCAGGCAGCAGAGGTCGAAACAAATTTGTCTCATCTGATGCCCCCCTTCATTCTCGGTCCCTACGTCCCTGCCCCCCCCCC